GGGGGAGCGGGCAGGGAGAGGCCGGCTGGATGTACGGCCCCCGTGTCACGGTGCCCACGGTGCCTCTGGCCCCTGCAGCCTCTCCGTGCTGGCATTTTCCTGCTCCTCCGCGCCGCCAAAGCAAGCCTGTGGCATCCAGGGCCCCTTCCCGTGCACGCGCCCGTGGGATTTTTCCATTACCCGGTGGCAGATAAAGGATCCCAACCTTTCTGCGGGCACGGGAAGGCTGTTGCCAGCACCTGTTCCTGGCAGGTTTGTGCCGGCAGCAGCCGCCCTGCGGTGGGAGCCTCCGGGTGCCGCCCGTTTTCCGCCTCTCCGAGGACGGACGCCTTGCCCTTGAGCTGCAGGTCGCCCCTGAGCTCGTGGTGGGCGGCTGCCATGTGGGAGCAGCTGAATAAACAGGTTTCTAAGTAATTTCTAAGCAAAGAAGCCATGTCCAAAGCAGCGCGGTGGCCGGCAGGGTTTCTCCTGTGCAGCCGCAGCCTCCGCAGGCAGGCGCAGGGCCGCGGCGCCAGCGTGGCTCACCCTCCTCCTGCCCGCCAGGAGAAAGCCAAACCTGTTTTTTTGGAAACTGCAGCGCACACAGGAGGGATCTTGTTTCCAAGGCAGGTTCGTCCCTCCCCGCCACGGGCCGTGTCTACGTCACGCGGCGCACGCAGGGGCAGGCCGGTCCCCTGCCCCGTTTTTCCTGCGGCTTGCTCCACGTCCCAGGGCTATGGATCCGCTGGGATCCGCCTTTCCCTCGGGATGTAGCTCCCTGGCGTCATTCATCGTGTCGGTCTGAAGGTCCTGGGAGTGTTTTATGGCAGTGTTTGTCATGCAAGATAGAGCGGCAGTGCGGAGATACAGGCGCTGTGGGCGCTTCCAGAGCCACGGAGGAGATGGGAACGGTCTGGGCACAGGAAGGGCCATGGGTACAAAACAAGGTGGCTCTTCCCGTGTCACCAAGGATGCAAAACATGGGTAGGGCTTCAGTTCCCTGAACAAGCTGTGTTTCCTGCAAGCCAAAGCCCTCCCAAAGGGGTGGCTCTGGTGTGAGGCGTTTGCAGACCAGGTTTCCACGGCGGGGAGACGGCACCGCTTTCATCTTGGCTCTTCCCGTGCATTTAGCAAGAACGTCCATGGCCAAGTTGTGCTTTTGAAGCATTGATGCTGCTCTTGCTTATGCTGAAGACTGGTAAAACTGCCCCCTCTTTCCAGGCTGGCAAGTTCCCACGTTGGGAAGCCACCCGGGAGAAGCCAACGACTTTAACTGGGTGTTTTGTGTTGGAGAGGAGGCCCCTGCTCAGCTCAGTCTGGCCTCTCCTGAGCCTCTGGCTGCCCTGGCTCTGGAGCAGGGCAGGGAAAATGGTTCGGGATGTGGAAATCATTTCTCAGCCCGGAAAACAGTGTTGAAACCGCTGCGGCAAATCCTTTGCAATCCCCAAAACGCCTTTCGCTGCTGCCCCGGGCTGCTCACAAGCTCCATCCCTACTTGGTTTTTCCCTGCCGTTGAGTTGAAGGACGAGGTGCGGAGGGCTTGGCCGCCTCATCCATGCGGCTGCACGTTATTCTCCCGTTAAATTCCAGTTAAAGAGCGGCGCAGCCAGGCAGGCTGTCACTCTGCCGTGGTGTCCGCCTGTCTTTCCAGATCGACAAGTACCTTTACGCCATGCGCCTCTCCGACGAGACCCTCATAGACGTCATGGCTCGCTTCAGGAGGGAGATGAAGAACGGCCTCTCCAGGGACTTTAACCCCACGGCGACCGTGAAAATGCTCCCTACGTTCGTGAGGTCCATTCCCGACGGATCAGGTAGGGAGCCGCGCGGGCCTTTCCTGCGCCTCGCGGGGAACCTCTCGGCAACGAGCCAGCCTCTGCCCGGGATGACAGAGCACTTTGCTTCCTGGCAAGCGGAGGAAACGTTTCGGAGAGACAACCTCCCTCCCTCCCTTCCCCGGGCAAACCTGCTCCAACAGATGCCGGAGGGCTTGGCGATTCCCACGGCGCGGGAACGGCCCTTTCCAGCCGTCCGTCCCCCCCGCAGTCAATGCGCTCGTGCAGAGAGCTGCCTGCCAGCAGTCAAAATCTGCACGCAGGGAGATGGGATTTTTTATTATTTATGAAATTCCCGCCGATGGGATTTTGAGTTTTCATAAAAACAGGGGCTTTTAGGCTTTTGCAGTTGGACACAGCCTGTCTTTTCCCCATTTTTTTTTCTTTGGGGGAATTCAGGGAACTGGAGGAGGCTGCAGCGTGGCACTTGAAACCTCTGCCAAGCATTTTCCAGCTGGATGCTGGATTTTGCTGTTTTTCTGTGGGCATAAAGCGCTCTCAGAAACCCAAACCATATTGCGCTGCTGTCTGGGATCAAGGTTGCCCTTATTTTGTGTTTAGTGTTTAGTGGTAACGCTGTATTTGCTTTCCATATAGAGCATGAGTAGGTTAACTTGTGTTTTGGTGCCTGTAACAGATTAAGTCCCTTTTTACAGCAATTGCCCTGTTATAACTCTGTTACACGGCTGTTTGAGCCTCATTTGAATTAGGACCGAGGAATTATTGGGTGAGGGAGCCCCGAGTCTGGTGTTTAGCATCACTTTGAGCTCTCTGGCAGGTGGAAATCCTTGATATTTCTGCTCTGCCCCGGATTTGTGTGGCCTTAACACTGAATAATTGCAATGTGATTCTGCTGCTGTTGTTTTTAAAGGGGTGAGATGCTAATTCCCCTTAATTTAGCCCTCTCAGCTGTTACGTTGAAATGACCCCCTGCAGTACCCCGGGCAGGGGTTTGCCTGCAATCCCAGCATTTTCCCTATCCCCGTTTGTTTTTCCTCCCCCCTGCCTGGGTGCAAATGAGCAGGGTCCCCTCGTGTTTGCTTCAGACCGTGCATTGCACCCTACTGAACCAGAGTGACCTCAGTAAAAGCCGAAGGGTTTTTTTCCAGCCATTCTCCAATTTCTGCCTCCTAAGCTCTCCCTTCCATGTCTGGATGTTATTATGAAAGCTGATTATTCAGGAAAAAAAAGGCACTGCTGTTTAGCTGCCGATTTCTGTTCCTGTACTTCAATAACAAGGAGCCTTTGAGGGATATATTTTGGAGCCTGTGGGGATGTTGTGTATTTTTTCCTCTTTGCTTCGTTCTGAGTTAATTTGAAAAAGCAGCAAGGTTTTGTCCAGGTGCCTAGGGCAGTAGCTCAAATTAACTCAAAACACTTTAAGAATGTTAAATTATTTGTAGCAGTTTTAATTGTGACTTCCTTTTTTTAGAAAGCGTGGATTAAACCCTACTGCTTGGATTAAACTCCTGAAACACCCTGAAAAAAAACTGTTACTTTGCATGTAGAAAACTTTGCATTTTACTTCGGGGCTGTTTTTCCTTTTTAGCCAAAAAGGATAATTCTCAGGGAGTTTTACCTTGCGAGGAGCCTGACGGGGCTACAAGTCAAACGTGCTAATCTGTAACCACGTTGTCAGGGAAGACACCTCTGAAGTGCACTGTTTGCTTGGAGCATTTAAGCTTGAAAAGGGGCCATCTGCTCCAATGTTGATTTTCTGTTTTTTAGAGGAGGTAATGGCTTGTGCTGGACAATTAATACTCTCTTATGATAAAGTGTATTCAGGTATTTGGCTCAACGAGGCACTTGTGATAGAGGTTTTGCTACCAGTCTTGGCAAGGTGAAGGAGACTACGAAGAAAGGATGAGCTGCATCGTAATGGGGTGAAATCATGGGAATTATGTTAAAGGTTAGGAGCCCCTGCTGTGTGTCATGAAGTTTGCTGCATTTTTTGTGTGGAAATCGCTGCTTTTTTAGGGCTCCTGGAGACTCATCTGAGTCCAGCTTGGTGAGGAAGAAGACGAACTGCCCTTGCGCCAACTTTGTGCTCAATTTTAAGGAATTAGCCAACGTTTCAAATCGATGCACTGCACAGTTGCTATAAAAACTATGTGCTTATATATGCTTTGCACACTATACTTGGGCTTTCTGAATACTCCTGGGCACAGTTTAATTGCTTATGTCTCGTTTTCCCCCTAGAGAAAGGCGACTTCATCGCGCTGGATCTTGGCGGTTCTTATTTCCGCATTCTGCGGGTGAAGGTGTCGCATGAGAAAAAGCAGACAGTGCAGATGGAAACTGAGATTTATAACACGCCCGAAGACATCATGCACGGCAGTGGGACACGGGTGAGTGTCCCCAAGGCTTTAGGACTAATCTCTAAAGAGATAACAGCTCTAAATCAGTTTTAACACTCTCATTTAAAAAACAGGTAAAAGGCGAGCATGACTTCAGCATTCTGGTAGTTATTGCTATTGGACTGAGAATAAATAAGCTGTATTTAGTACGAGAGTGATCAGGAATACTGCAAACCTGCTGTTATTGTGTGGGAGACTTTTGGCCGAGCTAGGAAAAAATGGAAGTAAAATTTGATGAAAAAATGTTGGTTTCTGTAGTAAAGGTGCTTGCCACAGAGAGAAGCAAAGAGCAGGGGAACGACTTAATTTCTGCAAGCAAATAGCGAGCCCAGCTCTGCAAAGAGTCTGCTGGGTGTGATGGATAGAAATACTGTTGACAGCACAAGTATCTGTCCTGGCAGTCCGGGGTGCTCAGCGTTGAGGAAAAGTAACAAGAACAGCAAAAACATCTCAGGAAGCCGGTGGGATGTTCTGTGCCAACCTCAACTTGCTTTTTCCTGAATAAATGGTACCTTTTCTTAGTCTTTTAGTCCTGAGAGTGGAAACGATACTTGAATCCAATTACTTGCATTCCGGATTGGCTTATTTGGAAGAATATGTTGTCTTTTTATGATTAAGAAATTAAAGAAGTGCATGTTTTGCATAAAAATGTCTCTTTGTATCAGTGTAGCACAAAACAAGTTATTTTTGTTGTCAGAAAGGATGTGTTTTTACGCCCCTTTTTTTTTTTTTTTTTTTTAAGAATGAGGTGTTATTTAAGCAGGAGCTAGGAAACTTCCATTCTGTTTTTAAAAGAGTGAAAAAAATGAAAAATGATATAAAGGGCATTTCTATCCTTAATATATTTTCTTTAGGCATCTTAACAACATCAGCATTTGTAGGTAATAACCACTGCTACATTCTTATGCAGTAGCCTGCCTGAGATGGCATCATTGCTCACAAGTAGCATTGGTGGTTCAGATACCATTCTGTGGTATCTGAAGGACAGCAATAAAACACACTCCTCTTAAAGACTTTTCCTGATATTATTACTCCTCTTAAAGACTTTTCCTAATATTATTATTCCTCTTAAAGACTTTTCCTGATATTTTTGCTTTGTTATCTGGCCGAAAGCACACGCAGCAGCTTTCCCACGGAGAGGCTTCGGAGGGCGGCCGAGCCGCCCGTGGCAGGCAGAGATAGGGAAATGAGCATTCCCACAACAACTATTCCCAACTTGGCGGCCCCTTTGCTCTTTCTGACGCGGCAGCGGCCTCATCCTGGTGTTTCCCCCTGTGGCCTCTCCAAGTCTGTCCATCCTTGAGGCCTCCAGCACCCTCCTGATGTTGCTCTTGAGGGAAACTCATGGAGCATCCCCTGAATGAGGATCATGGCCTTTAAACCAGGAAAGAGGCACACGAGGATGGCTCCTGCCTACCCTGGGGCCTAGAGCTGGCCCCCAAGGTATCCCCTGACCAAACGGATCCGCGGTGGATCCAGGCCCTGAGACTTCCCAGGGAAGCCCCAGGGATGTGGGATGCCCCAGGAGGTGGAGATCTGCTCCTGGGGACTCCCACCTGCCCCTGATTTGGATTCTCCTAAAGCCACGAGCCAGATTGGCGCAATAGTCCGAGGGAACCTCGGTTACTAATGCGCCTTTCAGCAAGCTGTGTCATTAACTTGGGCGAGTTACGCGCTGAAAATCCTGGGGCGTAATCAGCTTATGGACGGGATGGTGAGTTATGACTTTGTGCCTCGCTGGCGCACTCCGTTTTGGCATTTTCTACTGTACTGGGTTCAAGCTCTATTTTTAATCCAACCTAGCCCTTAGCTAACATGTGCAGTCCTGGTGGCAGCTGGAAGTTTAGTTAGGATGAAGTTATTGAGCAACGTGGAAAAAATTGGAATTGAATAGTCCTGTAGCTGCTGTGCTTGTTGTGAGAAATTGTGGAATTTTATCGCTTGGCTAAAGTTCTCCTTTTGGTTGAAAATAGCAAAATAGCTGAAAATAGTCTTACAGAAGCTCAATATTCTTTTCCTAATCTTTTCCACTGTGTCCGCTCAGTGATTTGCCTGGAACGGTGAATGGCAGAGTTTCCCCTGGGAAACTGCTGTAATCCCGCAAGTTCAGAGAGGTTTTCTGCCTCTCTGGAGAAGAGCTCGGCCCCGTGTGGGATCCACTCCTGCGTGCTCTTTTAAGAGACATCTTCTTAATGGAAGGCTGGAAGGGTATTTTGTTCTCATCCATGTTAAGAACAAGGTTTATGCCAGGCGGGAGAATCACATGCCGCTTGGAAAGCATTTTTGTATCAGTGGAAAAGATGCCATGCAGAATGAGATGCATTAATGTACAACTGATTTTGTACTTCTTAATTGCTAGAGTGTTAATGTGCGCTGTCTGGGAGATCTGTCATTTAAATATCTTAAAAAATTGGAGCAGAACTGAAGTATTCTGTCCCTTAACTCTGTCTCGATTCATGTCTGTTTTCTCTCTCTCTCTCTTTTTTTTTTTTTTTTTTTAATAGCTTTTTGATCACGTTGCTGAATGCCTGGGAGACTTTATGGAGAAACAACAGATCAAAGACAAGAAATTACCAGTTGGCTTTACCTTTTCTTTCCCGTGCCGGCAGTCCAAGCTGGATGAGGTAAGAACATGGCATGATTTTCTTAATATGCAAAAGATCGACAGTGTTTTTGCAGTGTGAAAGCAGGATCCCAGAGAGGCATCTTCTGGGGATGAGTGCTGGATGGGGATCAAAGATCATGGAATGTCCCAGGCAGGGTTGGTAGCTCAGGGCAGAGAGAGACCCGAGGAAGCGTTTGGAGTACAAAAGCCTTGTTTTTAAAGGGAGAAGGACAAAACAAGGGCGGGCTCCATGTTCAGGGCGACTCTGCTGTTCCTGCAGGGCATCCTGATCACCTGGACGAAGCGCTTCAAAGCGAGCGGCGTGGAGGGCGCGGACGTCGTGCGGCTGCTGAGCAGGGCCATCAAGAAGCGGGGGGTGAGTGGCGCTCCCGCCGCCTGTGCGAGCAGGCCTGGTGCGTCCACCTGCGCTCCCCATCCTCGGGGTTGGGAGAGGGATCTGGAGCAGGTGGTGTCTCAGAAAACTCCACTGGGACACGCGGGTGGTTATCTGCTGTGGCGGGGGAAAGCGGCGGGTGCAAGCGGGGCGGCGGTGCTGTCTGGAGGAGCCGCGTGCCATGGGCAATGCCGTGTTCCCCACCAGGACTACGACGCCGATATCATGGCGGTGGTGAATGACACCGTGGGCACCATGATGACCTGCGGCTTCGACGACCAGCGCTGCGAAGTCGGCCTGATCATCGGTAACGGGCGCCGGGCGCGTGAGGTGCCGCTTCGGAGGGGCCCCCTTCCTGACGCCCTTTCCCTCCAGGCACGGGCACCAACGCCTGCTACATGGAGGAGATGAGGCACATCGACCTGGTGGAGGGCGACGAGGGCCGCATGTGCATCAACACGGAGTGGGGCGCCTTCGGCGACGACGGCTCCCTGGAGGACATCCGCACCGAGTTCGACCGCGAGATCGACCGCGGCTCCCTCAACCCCGGCAAGCAGCTGTGAGTGAGGGCTCTGCTCGGGCGCTTCCTGGTACCCTGTGCTGAGATCCAGGAGGATCCCTCCGATCCAGCAGGATCCCCTCCATCCCGGAGGGGCCCTGTGCCACCCGCAGCGGTTCCTTGGAGCTGCCTGCTCTCCTGAACCCTGAACACTTTGCTCCTCGCTGCAAATTGCCCCTTAGCAGCCACTGAAGCCGAGGGGAAGTGCAGGACCTGATTGGGATTATAAACGTCCCCATTAGGGATACGGCTGTTTACTTTGTTGGCTCCAGTTCACAGCTTATCGCCCTAATTCTGGCCCGAGCCAGGCGATTATTAAATTAACTTGGGCTCATTCGTTATCTTAATTATTGCGTTGAACGGGGCTGGGGGGCACGCTCCGGGCAGAGCGGCTTCCTTGCAAGGTCCTGTAGGCATCTGGGAAAGGGATGTGCAGCAGAAGGAAGATTTTGGGGAGGCTAAATACAAACCGTTTAACACTGAGGGCTCAAGGCAGCACCGCAAGAAGGTCCCTCTGACCCTGCAGCTTGTTTAGGACAGGTCGGAAAGAGGTCTGAGAGTGTCTGGTGTTCACCATGGGGACAAAAGATATATCAGAAAAGCTGTGAGTGCCTCCCACTCTCGTGCTCTGTGGTTTAGGGAACATCTTGTATTACTGCAGAGTCTCCAAAGTCACCTTTGCTTGTGGAGGCCATAAAAATATGAGGGGGGGAGTATGAGAAAACGCAGCATAGAGAAGGATGCCAGCTGGAAATGAGCGGGTGTGCTCGATTTAATTCATTGGGTGCTTTAATTTATTAGATTGTGGCTGCTTTCCAGTTGTTTGGTCAACTCTGGCCACTGAGGCCCCGAGTTTCAGCCTGCTTTAAGGCGTGGGTGCAGGTTTTGGTGCCAGTTCCATGAGTGTGTTGCCAAAGGGAGTCTTTGCTCCCTTTCCGGCTTGCTCTTTGCCCGGTGGGTGAAGACTCTTTTGGATGAGTTGGGGTCTGCCCGCGGTGACGGCCGCTCTCCTCTCCTGCAGGTTTGAGAAGATGGTGAGCGGGCTCTACATGGGCGAGCTGGTGCGGCTCATCCTGGTGAAGATGGCCAAGGAGGGGCTGCTCTTTGAGGGCAGGATCACCCCCGAGCTCCTCACCAAAGGGAAGTTTGAGACGAAGCACGTGTCTGCCATAGAAAAGTGAGTGCCTTTCTCCCCCTGGCAGCTCTGAACATTAAATTCCTGGGACCCCCTCTATGGGGCCACTGAGGGCGATAGCTGCCTGAGCCTGGCAGCGCCCTCTCCTCCAAGCTGCAGGTTTTGGTGGCACTTCGGTGGGGCTGCCACTCTTTTCCTGGGATTGACTGCTGGCAAAAGCCTGCTGTGAGGTGGGAATGGCGCTGAAGCCCGTGGCAGAGCCACCGAGGTCCCTGCATGGTCACCGAGCGTGGCGGGACTTGGCTGAGGGCCTCCTGCCAAATGTTTGTGCTGCTCCTCGCCATCTCCACGAGATCAGCGGGTTTGCTCGGCGCCATCACCCTCTCGCTCCCAGGCTTTTAAAATTCACCCCACTGGGGTTGCTTGGGCTGCTTTCACCAGGCCAGCTCGGCCCTTGGAAAAGCTCCTGGTTTTCATGCGTGTCCGACGGTGGCAATGGCCGAGCGCAGTGCCCCGGGGACGCGGCCAGTGACTTCCACAAGTCCTTCATGATCCTACCCCTGCAGACTGCTTATCCCAGCAGCTTTCCACCACATGTGTGGCTCCGTCCGTCTCGGCCAAAGGGACCTGGGTGGAGCTGACGCAGTGTTAAACAACAGTGGGAAAAAACAGGAGGAAATTGGCCAAGCACTTTGGCTGCCAAGAGGCAAATTTGAAGTGAAATTCCAGGTCACGCCGCAAGGAGCACCTTGACTCTAAGGATGGGGCAGCCTCCCATCTCTGAGTGTCCCCAGCGAGATGCAAGAGGCAGGATTGTCCAAGTCTGAAGAGACCCATTAGGTCACTTGGGCAGCTGCTGCTCTGGGGTTGGTTCCCCTCGCGCACTTCCGAGTCTCTCAAGACCCACAACCCTCTTTCCACAGGAGCAAGGAAGGCCTGAGCAAAGCCAAAGACATCCTGACGCGCCTGGGCGTGGAGCCGTCTCACGAGGACTGCGTGGCCGTGCAGCACGTGTGCACCATCGTGTCCTTCCGCTCGGCCAACCTGGTGGCCGCCACGCTGGGCGCCATCCTCTGCCAGCTGCGCGACAACAAGGGCGTGGGCCGGCTCCGCACCACCGTGGGGGTGGACGGCTCCCTCTACAAGATGCACCCGCAGTAAGTGCCGCGCCGAGGGCTCCTTGGGCAGGAGCGGCCTCTGCGCTGGGCGCCGGCGAGGCCGTTGGGTGCTCTTGGTGAGGTGTTTAGCTCGGGTGTTTGGAAGAGCATGGGGTTGAACAGCGTTTATAGCCGTTCTGAACTTCCCGGG